CTTTGTGGGTAGCTGGAGGATCATTTTCATTTCTAACATAAAGATTAAACATTTACAACATAAGAAATTTAACCTATATTTATCATATTGGTTTCATTGATTATACAGTAGAGCATCGATTATCCGAATCAATTGAGGATGGGTTGTTCGGAAAATCAATTTTTTGGATAACCGATTATGTGCGAAAAAATATATTAATCTGTCCCATGTTGAAATTCATTCAAATCCTTGCATATCCTTAAGTACCCTCTCATGATTGTGCCAGTGATGCCAGCTATAACACGTGCACCAACAAAAATAATATTGGAGTAGCCCAAGACATAGTCAAAGATTGCAGCACCACAGCACTAGTGGAAATTTAAATTTGCTTTTGGTTAATTGACATTTCGGTTGGTCAATATTCAGATAATCGATGCTCTACTGTATTATTTTCTAAAATCAAAATTAACTTTTTATATTTACAACACCCACATTTTAATTATTCAAACTAAATGATTCTATTGATTAATAAAAAGGAAATTGAGTACAAAACTGAGTATAAAAATTTGAGTACAAACTGAGTACAAAAATTGAGTATAAAAAGGAAACTGAGTACAAAAATTTAATTCTGCTGTAATTATAAAGACACTTATAAATTTGATATGTTTAAACTCTTTACATTCAACTAAATGTATAAAATTAAGAAAAACCTTTTTTTATGCATAGTTTAGTTTAATGTGTTTACTTGATGATTTCATCAAATTTTCTATTTAAAACTTAAGATTTGTGATATTCATGGGGAAAATGTAGTGAAGAATCTTAAAAGAAAATTTCTATATTTCTGAATGAAAATATTTATTTTAACATTTTCATTACATCATCATAGTAATTTTTAATGATCTATTTTATCTGTATATTTTAATCATGCAAAAAACAGTATATATATAAATTGTTATTCTTTGTCTTTTTTTTAAAAATCTTAAATCTCAGTTTTAATGCTGTTATTCAAAGTTTAATGTGTACAAATATAATTTTTTGTTATTAATTCATTAAATATGAAGAATCAAATTAATATTTCAAAAATATGGAATTTTCAATGCTGATTTTATTCATTTCATGAAGCAAATAAAACTAAAAGATAACTTTTGAATTTCTTTGGATAAAATAATAATTGAAAGCTTACTTCTCAAAAGGAACATCTTTATGTTTTGGAAGATAAGATAAGCATTTTTTTAGAGCTTCTCCTTCAAGAATAGAATCTGGAGATGACAATTTTAATTCTTCAAATCTGAAAATATGTATAAAATTAGATCATTGTCTGCATAGATTTATTTTTAAAAGTAATTATTCCAATTAATTCAGCTCTATCAACAGGAATACCATTAATGTTGTTAAGATTAAACTTACATGTTTTTATACTAAAAATTAAATGCTTACTCTTGCAATTCATCATTTGTTAAGATATTTTCTTCATCAACAGATTTGCAGAACCAATTCAAAAATATTTCAAATTTTGGAATTTCAAACATCCAGTCAAAATCTGAACCATCAAGTTTCTTAGAATTTGGATATCCAATTTTATTTAATGTCTCTACAAATATCTGTCCCTTTGACATCCTATTAATAAAACAATCTTTAGCATTAAATATAATAATAATAGATGATCACATAATTTTCATGATTTAGTAATATTCTGTACTGAAAAATATTACTAATTTGTTAATTATTAAGAAAATATTTACCAGAATAATTATTTAAATTGTGAATACATAAAATTTATTCAAAAACATTATCAAAATGGAATATAAAAACTAATTATAATAAACTTAATCAACAAAATTTCAAAGTATCTTTCAAGAAACATCAAATAATCTTAAATTAATAGGTAAGCTTTTAGAAATTACTAATAACTAATAAATATCTTGAACAATTTGTATACATAAACAAATTTACCTTTTAATATTTTGAACACAGTATTGTAAAGAGAAACATGAAAACAAGTGTTATGGATTCAAATTCTGTACTAGATCATTAAAAAATTTTTAAATCACAAAATTTTAAAATTGATAATTTTTAAAGTTTAACAACCATATACAATCCATAGTAACAAGTCATTCTAATAATAATTTACTACTGTCAAAATTGTACTGGGATATTAAGATTTAGAATTTTATTAAAGAATCCTTTAAAGTAATAATATTGGGTTGAACTGAAAGTTCGTTTGGGTATTTACATAATCACTCATCTGTGGCGCCTTTGTAATGCTTATCAAGTTTTATTATAACTTGTTTAGGTTGACATTATGAATATTTGCACATTTACTATGTAAGTTTAATTAATAGATAACAAAATTTTAAAAAATAGTTATCAAGGGAAAAAAAACCATTAAAATGGAAGATAAGAAGGTGCATTTTTGACATCTCATGCTCTATTATTTCCAAAAAGGGAAAAATGCAACAAAAACAAAAAAAAGATATATGCTATACATGGGGAGGATGCAGTTACTGATCAAGCATTCCAGAAATGGTTTTCAAAATTCAGGGAGGAAGATTTTTCTCTTGAAGATGCATCTCAGTCAGGATGGCCTTCAACCATAGATGATGGGACTGGCTTTAATTCAAAATGATTGGCATAAAACAACAAGAGATAGGAGACGTCTGACAACAGCTGTTTGGGATATTTTTAAGATGTCTCCTATCTCTTGTTGTTTTATGCCAATCATTTTGACGTTTGGCTAGCCTTGGATACACTTCCCATTATAATGTTTGGGTTTCCAATCAATTAAGTGAATGAAACCTTATTGAGCATGCTTCTGTATGTGATTCACTTTTAAAATGCAATGAAGACTATCCCTTTTTAAAGCAATTAATAACAGGCGATGAAAAATGGATCGTTTACAATAATATTCAATGCAAGAGATCTTGGAGTAAGCCAGGTGATCCTCCAGTACCGCAACCTAAAGCTGGTTTGCATCCCAGAAAAGTAATGATTTTAGTTTGATGGGATTGGAAAGGGGTTTTTTTATTACAAACTTTTACCCAATAACCAAACAATCAATTCCAATAAATATTGTCTCCAACTGGATGAACTAAATGCTGCAGTGCATCAAAAATATCTGGAACTTGCAAATTGACGGGGAGTGCTATCATGATAATGCAAGACCACACATATCATTAAACATGCACCAAAAACTTCTAGACTTTAACTGGGATGTTTTGAGTCACCCTGCATATTCTCCAGATATTGCTCCCTCAGACTATCATCTTTTTTGTTCATTGCAGAATAATTTAAATGGCATAGNTAAACATGCGCCAAAAACTTCTAGACTTTAACTGGGATGTTTTGAGTCACCCTGCATATTCTCCAGATATTGCTCCCTCAGACTATCATCTTTTTTGTTCATTGCAGAATAATTTAAATGGCATAGAATTTCAATCTTCAGGTATCAAAAATCACATCGCTAATTTCTTCAATCAGAAACCCACCCAATTCTACAAAGATGGAATTATGAAAACTACCCATCAGGTGGCATAAGGTTATCAAACAGAAGGGTAAATACATAGTTAATTAAAAATTTTTATTTATTTCAAAATAGTATATTTTATTTCTTTCTAAAAACTGAACAAACTTTCAGTTCAACCCAATAATAAATGTAAACCAGTGATGAGCAACCTTTTCTGAATACAGGCTGCAAGTGAACTTTGTAGACTTCTGGTGGGACTCTTGCATTTTTCTTCTGGAGTTACAAACTAAGCCTGCTGAATACAAATGTACTCATTAAGTTTGGTTTGAATGTTCTTTGTCACAAATATCAGCCTAAATAGGATTGTGTAAAGGCACAAAGCATAAAGCAGCAAAATAAAATTACATTGCAAAAGCTTGGGGTAGGTTACTCATGACTGCTTTAAACTAATAAGGAACTTTTTCATTAAACATATGCTGTATACCATTGTTGAAAAATTTATCATCTAAAGATAATAATTTTTATATTATTAATTATAATAAAATGGCAAAATGCTTAATTTTGAAGGTAGAGATGAGTTTCATAAGAAAATTGCAAATGCTAATAACAAGTAAAATCTTCATTAAGTCCAACCCCACGAGAGATGACAAACTACCGTCCTCTAACACCCCACATCTTAGACCTTTAACTACCAAAATTTCATAGAATCAATCCACTCAATACAAAAATATCTCTGCAAAATTTCAAAAATTTTTGACAAAACACAGGAGTTATTAAACTCAAACTTGATGACAAAATCATGCACCCACAAATACTTAAAAAAAGGCCCAAGAGTCCAAATATTAAAAAGCTTGGTTTCATTTTTGATTATCATACTTTCCCTGTGTTATATATAACAGCTAGGTTAAAAAAAAAAAAAAAAGGTTAAGATAAAATTAGAATTTATGTAGTAAATTAACTAATATGAAGTTGAAAGAGTTTAAACAAAAGGTAAAAATAAATTTTATTTTAAAATGCAAATACACTTATTCTTTCTTGATATTTTCTTAGTAGTAATCTCAAAACTTGCATGAATTATAATAATTAAAAAAAAGAAACCCAATAGCTATAAGCTTATATTGTATCAATGAAAAGTGATAATCTATCTAAATATTCAATATATTTTCTTTTCATAAAAAAATTATAAATTTACAGTTTTAACTTGACTTTGCATGTTTAATATTAAAAATCATCCTTAATGCATTTAGGGGCATCCATAAATGATGTCATGCTAAAATCCACACAAGTTTTTATAAGCTGGAATGTACACAAATTAAAATTAAACAATGGAATCAATAAAAACAATGTTTTCAACCTCTTTCAGGGGCCTGCATCAAGCATTGATCATTATAGAATGTTAGCAGAAATTCTAAATTTAGAGATGACATCAAACGAACATATTTGTAAAAAACATTGTTACAGAATGTTAGCAGAGATTCTAAATTTAAAATGTTTTTTACAAATATGTTCTTTTGATGTCATCTCTAAATTTAGAATTTCTGCTAACATTCTATAATGATCAATACTTGATGCAAGTCCCTGAAAGAAGTGGAAAACATTGTTTTTAATTTATTCTAATACATATTTGCTAGACTGTATGTAGGTTATTTTATTATGGTGTTTAGTTTTAATTTAAAATTCCAGATTTTAATGAATGACATGAGGAGGGGATTATCACATTATTATAAGCTCTCACAAATGATGTCAAATTGCTTGCCACCCTGAAAAAGCCTTTGCATTATTATGACATAAATGCACTGTATCAATTCATAATTAATATTAAAATAAAATAATTTATTTATACTTTTATCAGAATAAAACAGTAATGACAATAGCATTACATTAGTTAAAATTTTATTTTTACTACACCTTGCTAGCAAGTTATTTCATTCCCATACGTTTGTAAGGTGCTCATTCAATTGATACAATGCATTCAAATTTTGGAGGAATGCTTTGCCCTATCATATTTTTGTCATNTGCGCCAAAAACTTCTAGACTTTAACTGGGATGTTTTGAGTCACCCTGCATATTCTCCAGATATTGCTCCCTCAGACTATCATCTTTTTTGTTCATTGCAGAATAATTTAAATGGCATAGAATTTCAATCTTCAGGTATCAAAAATCACATCGCTAATTTCTTCAATCAGAAACCCACCCAATTCTACAAAGATGGAATTATGAAAACTACCCATCAGGTGGCATAAGGTTATCAAACAGAAGGGTAAATACATAGTTAATTAAAAATTTTTATTTATTTCAAAATAGTATATTTTATTTCTTTCTAAAAACTGAACAAACTTTCAGTTCAACCCAATAATAAATGTAAACCAGTGATGAGCAACCTTTTCTGAATACAGGCTGCAAGTGAACTTTGTAGACTTCTGGTGGGACTCTTGCATTTTTCTTCTGGAGTTACAAACTAAGCCTGCTGAATACAAATGTACTCATTAAGTTTGGTTTGAATGTTCTTTGTCACAAATATCAGCCTAAATAGGATTGTGTAAAGGCACAAAGCATAAAGCAGCAAAATAAAATTACATTGCAAAAGCTTGGGGTAGGTTACTCATGACTGCTTTAAACTAATAAGGAACTTTTTCATTAAACATATGCTGTATACCATTGTTGAAAAATTTATCATCTAAAGATAATAATTTTTATATTATTAATTATAATAAAATGGCAAAATGCTTAATTTTGAAGGTAGAGATGAGTTTCATAAGAAAATTGCAAATGCTAATAACAAGTAAAATCTTCATTAAGTCCAACCCCACGAGAGATGACAAACTACCGTCCTCTAACACCCCACATCTTAGACCTTTAACTACCAAAATTTCATAGAATCAATCCACTCAATACAAAAATCTCTCTGCAAAATTTCAAAAATTTTTGACAAAACACACAGGAGTTATTAAACTCAAACTTGATGACAAAATCATGCACCCACAAATACTTAAAAAAAAAAATTAGGGTTTTTTGTGTTTTTTTTTCATTTCTTGACATTTGGAGAAGGCCCAAGAGTCCAAATATTAAAAAGCTTGGTTTCATTTTTGATTATCATACTTTCCCTGTGTTATATATAACAGCTAGGTTAAAAAAAAAAAAAAAAGGTTAAGATAAAATTAGAATTTATGTAGTAAATTAACTAATATGAAGTTGAAAGAGTTTAAACAAAAGGTAAAAATAAATTTTATTTTAAAATGCAAATACACTTATTCTTTCTTGATATTTTCTTAGTAGTAATCTCAAAACTTGCATGAATTATAATAATTAAAAAAAAGAAACCCAATAGCTATAAGCTTATATTGTATCAATGAAAAGTGATAATCTATCTAAATATTCAATATATTTTCTTTTCATAAAAAAATTATAAATTTACAGTTTTAACTTGACTTTGCATGTTTAATATTAAAAATCATCCTTAATGCATTTAGGGGCATCCATAAATGATGTCATGCTAAAATCCACACAAGTTTTTATAAGCTGGAATGTACACAAATTAAAATTAAACAATGGAATCAATAAAAACAATGTTTTCAACCTCTTTCAGGGGCCTGCATCAAGCATTGATCATTATAGAATGTTAGCAGAAATTCTAAATTTAGAGATGACATCAAAAGAACATATTTGTAAAAAACATTGTTACAGAATGTTAGCAGAGATTCTAAATTTAAAATGTTTTTTACAAATATGTTCTTTTGATGTCATCTCTAAATTTAGAATTTCTGCTAACATTCTGTAACAATCAACACTTGATGCAGGTCCCTGAAAGAAGTGGAAAACATTGTTTTTAATTTATTCTAATACATATTTGCTAGACTGTATGTAGGTTATTTTATTATGGTGTTTAGTTTTAATTTAAAATTCCAGATTTTAATGAATGACATGAGGAGGGGATTATCACATTATTATAAGCTCTCACAAATGATGTCAAATTGCTTGCCACCCTGAAAAAGCCTTTGCATTATTATGACATAAATGCACTGTATCAATTCATAATTAATATTAAAATAAAATAATTTATTTATACTTTTATCAGAATAAAACAGTAATGACAATAGCATTACATTAGTTAAAATTTTATTTTTACTACACCTTGCTAGCAAGTTATTTCATTCCCATACGTTTGTAAGGTGCTCATTCAATTGATACAATGCATTCAAATTTTGGAGGAATGCTTTGCCCTATCATATTTTTGTCATTAGTATCCATCATCTGCAATACATTTTGGTGGAATAAAGAATTCCAAATTCAAAAACTGTTTCCCCCAGTTCATGAAAGACTACAGTCTACAGATTTAGAAATCATCATAGAATGTCAGCCCACCAGTGGCCAAGCAGTTCTGTTCCATAAACACTGGGAATTCGGTTGTGGGTTTGCCCCTCACCAGAATGGGCTGGCCACATGGAGTTTTCTGGGTCCACATCTGAATAGGGGCCAGTTACCCTTAAAAAGAACTCCCGGAAGGCATCCCCTAGGCAGATTGCCCAGGTGTTCCATTGCTGTAACTCAATAAAACAAACAAACAAAACAATCATAGAAAGTCACTTCTTTACGTTTACTTTTTCTTTGGAAACATTCTGAAAATAAACTTTGAATTTTTCAAAAAACATTTGATAAAACATTTTTTAACATCTAACACAAAAAATAACTACTTGTCAATAGAGTAGTCTTAGTACCTATGCTGGTTTCAGTCCCACCCCAGACAGATAAGATGTATAAAATTGCTGAGATAAACAAGGTAATTTTACCTTTTTTTATCTCAGCAGATCTTAAAAACAAACACTTCGTAGCAACAGCACAATAATTTCATAACATTACTTACTTTAATATTTGTAACATACGAATAACGAGAACGTTACGAGGTAAATTCTACACTATTATAATCATAGAAATTGTACCGATCACTTTTCTGCGGCCTAAGAAAATTTTATTCAAATATTTAAGAAAAAATATTTAATATTTTTGGTTTATTAAATAATAAACCTAAGACTGTATATAGTTTGAACATCAATTCCATTCATCTCAAGCTATAGAGATCATACTATATAAACAAATAAAATCCTTGCACCACTTGTTAGATACCAACACATTACTAAAGATCTTAGAAATCGCATTTAATCATCACAATATAGCCAAGACTAGAAAACTTTTTGCATTTGTAAACATGAATTTTATATGGATTTGGTTTATTTTAGAGATAAACATTTGATAAAGCAAAATGAAAATTATATGATTTTTATTTACTATAATGATTGTATTTCCAATGGTAGAAGTTACTTTTTGGTAATTTGTGGGTTAGATTGAAGCAAAAGGTGTTAAGACTTAGGCTTAGATGTAATTTCACAGGCTGAATAGTGTTTATATGTTATACACAGCACTTGAATTACCTAAAATTAACTTCCACCTTTTCATTCATAATCATATAAACAGATTTAAATATAAAATTCTGACCAATCTAATCGGCACTTACTTTAATATAAGAGTGATTTAATTCCTGTAGGAACGAAACAAAAACGTCAAATTTAAAAAAGCCAAACGATGTCAAACAAACCGCCAAACTCCAGCGCCATCTGAGATTTTTAGAAGGATGATAACGTGACGTCATATTTACTGTACGGTAATCGAAAATATATTGAATCCGAATTTTGTTTGGTTAAATAAAAATAGTCAACCGAATTTGATTTTTAATGTAAATATTAAAATTTAATATTTACAATTTATATTTGAGTGTAAAGCGAATACAGATTTTGTTTCTAAATATCAAATTTTCTGATGGTTGTTATTTTTTAAGTTACGTAATAATTATTATGCTTTGAAATTTAATTGTTGAGAATATTTTAAAAAAATAAAATACAGTAGTCTAAAATAAAAATTATGACTAATTATAATTATTTATTTACGTAGAATGATTTTTTTCTAATAGTCATTATTATGAATAATACATTTTATTATTTATTCTTTTGGAAATTTATTATTATTTATTATTTACTCTTTATGAAATTATTATTAGTATTATTTAATTCTTATTTTTTATTTAGAAATTATTTTTTATTTATTCTCTTGGATATTTGTAAAAAGTTTTTCATATGTAAAGAATTAAATATAGAAATTTTCAATCTGTCAAAAATAAAAAAAGACATACTGAAAAATATAGTTATATTGGAAAAAATAAAATCGACACATTTATTCTTGACCTTTTTGAAATTTCTTTCCTTTAATCTGTTGCTATGTCTAAATTCAAATTCAAACTTAAAAATCGATAGTAACTTATTTTACCGAGCGCCATCTACTAAGAGTTTATTCACTAAACTATTTATTAAAAAATTAAAAATACGACAAATATAAATAGAAATTTAAAAATTAATTTTAAATAATTGTTAAATAAAAAATTTAATAAATCATAAACTATTAAATTTTTTTTATAAGCGAGTAAAGATTTGTCTTTAACATCACGAGACTTCATTTAAATTGATTCACGTGAGCCAGTTGATTGAGAGGAAATTAAAACTGGTGACGTGAAGAATTGATTTCGTGGATTTTATCCCTTTTTAGATATAATCAAAAACAGTTGTGAAAGTAAACTTATATTTCCAAAAAACAAAAAAAGTAATTTCTCGAAAATGTTTTTGACATTGAACAGTACTTTTGCTTTCTCAATAGTAAAACATGTCACCTCGAGATATCAATAGAGTAATGGCTGACAAAGATAACCTCAGTCCAATGAATGAATTGAATGAGATACATCAAGAAAGATGACCTTTATCGGGACACGTGATTAAGTTGTGATCGAACGTACAAAACTGTTTTCGTGTCCAAAAAACATTTTTGTATTAATATTATAAATATATAACTTACAGACATATTAATAGATAAATATAAAATTTGCAATAACGCTGTTTAATAATTTAAATATTAGTTTTTCAGTAAAGAATAAAACAAGTCATTAAGAGTTGTTAAATAATTTTATATTTTTATAATATAAAAATACCATTACTATTATTATTCGGCCGTACCATTGTGGGCCTGGCCAAATCCACGGTGGGCTTGATAAATAGTCTCTTTAGTGGCTCATGGCGGAAGGAGTAAAAAACTTCAAAACCTTTAAAAATATATACAAATAAAAACTGATTTTTCATTACTTAAAAAAAACTTTCATTTATATCACTTTCAAGCCATGTTTTGAGGACCCTCAAAATTTAGTTTTTAATGTAATTTAATGTAATAAAAGAATACGAGTTGAATTTTATTTTGTAATATAATACATTATTTTTGCATATTTCACCATTTGAAAACATATTGCATATTGACGAAAATTTTTTCATAATGAAATTAGCCATTACTTTAAAAATGTTTTGAAATATTTTAAAAATTTCGTGAAACTTATAGTCTATTAAATTTTATAATTTTAAGATTATCGGTAAATCATGGAGAATTTTGAAAGATTTATAAAATTTATTGCCCAACGGCAATAGATTGAACAAATTACTTAACTAATTTAAGTTTCACTAATTTTATACAATAATGAATAATTCATTTCTTCTTAAAACGTTTTAATCCAAATATAAACGTTCAAGAAACTCAAACAATTTACTGAGAACGTACGAAAATATTTCTTTTTTGTAAACTTTAAAAAATAGGATTGTAAGCACGGATTGGCATTCTAAGCCATTGTTATTAAGTTTGGCAGAAAACATGGATTTTAGCAGCATGGGAAACGAATCTGCCATGGCCTAAACCTTTGTTCTTCATCAATTATTTTCTCAGCACGGGACCAGTCTTTTTTTTTTTATTTCAAATTTACTGGCAACATTATCTACCACTTGTCTTTTAACCTTGCTTTCAATCGCTGCAGGATGCCAGATGAGTGAACTACAACTTGTATTAGCTCACGAGAGCGTGGCAGATTACATAACTTAGGAATCTGAAAAACAATGATTTGATACAATACAATTGTCGATTACCCAGAACTTGAATTTGGTTTATTCTTTTTATAAAGATGTTCTAATTTGTTTGATAAACGGCTTATGTTTAATGTATTTGTTTAAAAAGTCATTAATTTAGCTATAGTTTTTCTCTTATAGAAGGAAATTGTGGTCATACAAACATTATCAGACTGTGCAATGAGAAATTATGAAAGAGAAGTAATTTATCTACAGGTTTGTTCATTGGTTTGGATTAGTGTACACATTTACGTCAATGTGATGTCATGTCTTCAGTTTTACAAGCAACAAGTATGTAAGATGACGTCAAATTGACGTAAAAGTGTGTATCTCAGTCAAATAAGCAAATCTCAATGAATACGGAAGAGGAGCAATAAATAATTTATTCAAAAACTAATAATTTAACTTAAACTATAAAGTTTAAATGTTTTATAATTTTAAAGACCATTTTTTGTTTTTTTCTTTTTGTTTTTTTTTCTTTAAATTAGCCAAATACTCGTTTTTATGTGTTTTTCTGCTCTTTTCAATGATGATTGTTATAAATTTATAAACCAGTCAGAAAGCAGAAAGAAGGGATAAAATACAGAATGAAAATTGGAGGTTAGTTTCAAAATCAGTCACATTTACAGCCCTTATATTCAAAATCCAGAAAAGTAGAGTTGGCTATTTTTGAAATTATACTCCTCAATTATATTATTTTGTTTAATCTAATATGAAAATTTAATTAATGAGACGTTTTTACATTTTACTTCAGTAAAATTAATCGTGTAAACATAATATTACACATCTAAATATTATATATTCATAAAATTTCAAAAAATTATCAAGAGTGTTTTTTTATATAAAAACAAAGATATTTTCTGTGAGAATATTTTAAAATCAAGATTATCGTTAAAATTATCAAATATTCCAATTAATTTTGATTTTTCAAAGCTTTCATCTCCTTGAGGGCTAAATTCCTGCTCTTAATTTCAATTGAGGGTGGTTCTGACCTACATTGTAATCACCAATTTGAGAAAGAGATGAGAACGAAGTCTTTAATAAATTATCTCTGAAACATTCTGAAAGACTAAGAAGTATTTGAAGAAATCAAGCAGCATTAAAAGAACCTCTTACTCAATGCTTTTCCAGTTCCTTAATTGTTAATAACATGAAAATATACAAATTGTAATTAAAATTATGTAAATTAATCTGTATATTAATTATTCATAAAATTACAGACATTGAATCTATAAAATAAATGAAATATTCGAAGCTATAAAAATAAAAATAAAAATATAAATAACCTAAATCTATGAAAATAAATAGTGAAACTATACGAAAAAACTCCATTCAAAGATAATGATAGAAATTAATTCAATTTTCATTTATTAAGATAATTTTAAAATTTTTAACATATTAAATATACATAATTTAAATGCTTCTAGTAGATTTATCAAATAATTTCTTAAAAATTTCTATCCAAATTTAAGTTATACGTGACTCAAAAATAATAGAATTTTTTGTTCTTCGAAAAAGAAACTTTACATATTTGATGTATGTTATCCGCCAAACACAATGTAAGATATTACAGATTATCTTATTGAAAGTAGGATTAGGCTATATAGAAATAATTTAAATGCAAAAAAATGTAAAGATTAAATATTTAATTTGCATTACATTAAAAAATATAGCAGTGATGAGATATTATAATTTAAATTAAAAAATAAAAGAAAAAAGATATAAAATTTGTACAAATATTATTTGTAATCTTACTAAAAGAATTCTTTTAAGTGTAATGCATACATCGATGTAGTACCCTCTTATAGCGCCAATGAATAATAACGAATCTTCTCCACAAGTACTAACTGCATCTGCGAATTACTATACATTCGATTCTGTGTTGTCATCACCAAATTAAAGAATTTTATCATAATATATAATCTTTATTGTTTGAGATACTTCGATTCAGTGTCATACTGGATTTCGTGCAAAATTTAGAGGTAAGCAAACGATGGTGCTAAATCGAAGTCTGACTGTATTTATAAATTCAAATTTACTTTTTAAAAAGTTTACAATTTTACAAAGTTACTTTTAAAGTTTTCTATTCAAATAAATTGACTTTCAATATTTACTTATAAAAATTAAATGTCTTTGACAATTTCGGAACGTCAAACTGACTCCATATTCACGACCAAAGATCAAGAGTTAGAAAGTTAACCAATTAACAATCACTTCTCTTTTAGTAAATGAATGCTTATTGGCTAATTGCTTATTGGCTTCTTATTCTAACTCTTGATCCTTGGTTGTGAATATGGACGTAAGTAATATAAAATATTTTAATCTGCGAAAGGTTTTCTAACTTCTTTTAAGAGCACATCAATAATATTGAGAGTAAAGATTATTGTTGATTCAGTAATTTAATTGAATAAATGCAGAAATGCAATTGGACAGTTTTTGAAAATTTATCTGAGATCAGAAAAAATGTACTGTATTTAAGCTGAGTGTGAAACTATGAAAATACACTCAGCTTAAATAAACTGATATCAGTTTATGAATAAAAGATTTTACTTTTTGGAAGTATAATTAATAAAAATAATTTTTAAATTATTATTTGAGAGATAATTTTACAAAAATTATGTTACACAATAAGAGTGTTTGAATAAAATGCGATAATTGAGTGAGAGAGAGATAATCGCGTGAGGAGGATATTAGAGAGAATGTGGAGATAATTCTGTGATAATTTTATATAAGTTATACGCCCTCTA